CATGCTCTCTGATGATCTCAACGGCATGGTGGCGACCAGATTGCCACGCTCCATCGACCGTTCCAAAAGCATTGATACTCGTGTACTCACCAGCAAGTCTGAGAGCTCCCTTGAATGTTCCCAAAGGCCTATCCAGACTATGCTGATCTTCTGAAAAACCGGGTAGTATCTTGCAGAAGGCAGTTTGAATGAGATTGTCGGTGATCAAATGCTTGGCCAGAGGCTCCGGGACAGTAGTGCAGCCTTTGAATAGACTTGTCAGTGCCACTTTAACGAATGCATGCCAGCCTTGGGGACTTCGAGACGTTGCCGAGGAGATACATGCGACCAATACTGCCTTGAACTGATATGCTCGCGGATAATACTTCGTAATATTGACGAACCGTAAGCAACTCATACTCGCAATCTTGAGGACTTCAAGGTCGTCCCAGCCTTGACACTCTGGTGACTTCCACTCCTCAGGAAACGGAGTCGGCTCTCCTTGGTCCCATGGTGCGATCTTGAAGGTGTAGATAAGACGTTCGTCGAAGCCGGCCCAGAGTTTCGACAACGATGCCCTCAGACGAGTGAGCTCCTCCTCGGGAATTCCCGATATTTGAAGGGCAGTAGCACCCATTGGTGAGGGAAGGACAGACACTGGATCAGCCCTTTGAACGATCGGTAGAGGTAAACAAATGATGACATTCTTACACAGAACAAACCTCACGTTGGAACCAAGACCGGGTAGGGTAAACCACACAACAGAGGTCCAATCATTGACACCGTGAGGGCCATCGATCTTCCTTACTCGAGCGCCGCAGATGACCTCGAGTCGAGACTGGTGGGTTTTCACCATGTTCACCACCTCTGACATCATAACGCCCCAACCGATTTGACGGCCATCATGGATGAATCCACCGTACCCGCGGGGTCGACCTTTTCCCTTCTTGTCATCCTTCGCAAATTGAGCCCAATCTCGAAGTGTACAGGCCAGGTCCTCGGGAACGCCATCACCGAGCTGCTGCTCCTTCTTCTCGTCCAAACCTTTTACGATCCACGTCGCCAGCTGTCCATGGTCAACTTGCCGCAAGGCGGACACAACCGTGAGGACGTCTCTAAATGCAAACTCGAGAGCCTTGGGGCTGCTGCTGCTGCTGCCGGCTTCCTCTTTCGCAGCACTTCTCATATTCATGATTATCTTACGAGTGAGATACTCTGATTCAGTCATGGCACGGGACAAGTCTGGAGCCCCTGTATGCGTGAACTCCGCAGAACGCATGTAGTCGAGAACCGCCTCAGCTTCAGAGGTCTTTGACGCTCCATCACTCGTCTTCTCGGTGACAAAAATTAAGAATTGATTTTCCTTCACGATACCGTCCCGAACCATTGACATGTAATGAGACCGAAATCGATCGTATAGGGGGGAGGAAGGCGTCATCTTGGCATGGGAGTAGAAAGGAACCGACCACGCACGCTTGATGGAATGCGAAACAAGCGTCGACCATATCCCGACTAACGGGAGAGGTGCCAAAGAAGAAACCGGTATCGCCAGCCGTGAGGTTCTCCCAGCGGAACTTCTTATCACATTTGATCTTGAGGCTATTGTGCAACAAATTAGTAAGTTCAGAATCTTCGGGAGATGAAGTAGCGAACCAAGCACAGGTGTTCACCGTGTTGATATTCTGAGGGAAATAATTCAATGTGTAATACAGTCGCCAGGATTCGAACCCGCGCGGGTCTTACATCAATCGGAACGCTAC